ACTCGCTCAATTTTCAATATTTTGCAATGAAAATTTAGGAAAATATTGTTCAAATGTTGCATTATTATATGGAAATTGACTGAATAAACTAACACTATCTGTATCGCCAAAAAAAATTCTTAAAAACATGCCTTTTTTTCACCGAATTAACCTTACCCCCCCCTCCCTTAATATGTCTTACTATTATAATGCGTTACTATTATAAACTACTACGACGAACTGCAGTGAACCGCGCTCTTCTAGAGCTCGTATTATACTCGTGACATTCGAGTGCGCTAATGGCACAGCCAATCACGCATCGCTCGAATCAATAATCCCAATTGCTACGCGCTTAGAGCTGAGAACTAATTTGTTGGAACTTCCCTACACTTTTGATCGCAAAGAGATAAATGGAATTGTAACCCCGATTACAACGATTATCACTTAAGCACGCGTTTAAGGATAACGACCGCGCTAGCAGTTAATACCCCGCTATAGAAACGCAACGACAGCACCGCGGTCGTGAGTTTATATTGCGACAGGCAAAGACATTGCTAAGTTTAACCGATGTCCATCGAACGCATTTGGTAATACATGTAAGTAGCTCGATCAGCAGGCCAAGGTACAAACCTACGTCAGCTAATCGAGTCTACTTAACGCCTCGTAACCAACGAAGAGGCAGAGTTCATTTACAAGTTGGAACGTAGAATATTACGTTGTTGATGAGCGTATTATGCGGGTGCATAAGTTGTGCGTTAGATCATGAATAAAGTTGTTCAGTGAAACAGTGTTCGACTGAGTGAGTTATTCCAACAACCTATCACTACGATTTTCCCCCGTTACACCCACGGTGTAATAGAATATCTGTGGTCTTGAAATGACGAGAGTATCTTGCGATCTATTATATGTACAATATATTTACACGTTATATACAAAAAATTTGTATGTTTTTGAGTAATAGGGCCCTAAAAAGAACTATTCGTGTTTAACTGTTTTGGGGCCTTGAAAAAGGTCGTTTCGCTCCTCTCGTCTAGCGCCTTTGTTCACGCCATGAGATTCGCGGCAATCGTGTAATGTATGGGCTCCCAACGGAATTTGTCGACAGGCACTAGTCGCAAGCCCGGTGGTGTTTCCGGCGGCGAGCGTACGCCATTGCTGATTGCTGTCGCTCCACTCCGCCTCCGCATTGGCTGGTCTCAGGAGCGGCTGTAATCTTGATAGCCTCGGTTTCTCCGAATCTGAGAGGTCGGTTCAGGTCTGCGTCGCCTGGATTTTTAACGACTCCCCACTCGTTCCCGGATGAAGGTCTTACGTCTTGGTCTGCTGTCTCGCAGCACTGAGTCCCCCGATGCACTGGGGCTGGGGCTAGTGTCTGCCTGATGATGTCTCGTCGATCGCTCGGCGACGGCGGTAATGGCGACAGGAACGGTTGTTTCCAAAATGGAGATCGTCTGCAGCGGATATTCCAGAGGTTCAGCAAATCCCGCAGAGGCTACATATCGACGACAGCTCCAATGGCACGAGCTTTTACTCGATGGGTTGATGGCAGGTACAGCATGTGGTGCCGGCCCTGGTGTGCGTGGTGGAAGGCGGCAGCGTGACTTTTGAGAAAGCCGGGTTTTGAGAGAGCCGGGCGTTTCAAAATTGATACTGGCCTATTTGTTTCGTACTAGTTCTCTGTTGTAAACCACAATCTTATGAGTTCACGATATGAGCGCACGCTGTAGTGCTCTTCGCTTTGATCCCTTGTACATATTCTATCTCACTTAATTTTGCACACGAGAAAGTGTTTATCGCTATATGGCTTATTTAGCCGTGCTCACGCGGCTGCGACTACTTTGCGCGCTCGCGAGAATCATGCCTCCAGCGCGTAATCTCACTCTAACGCCTGTATGTGTACGGGCTCACATCCGTGCATACCGGGTTTGCTTACATGTAAGCGCGTCTTCTTTGTGGCGCTATGAGCTGCTACAGCGCAAAGATTGGAACATAATCGGTAGCGAAAAAACGAAGTTTCTAACGGTAGGATGGGTATGCGGAACGTTCTCTTACAAAATTATTGTGTTGTTCAAGGGAGTAGGCTGCCTTCTACAAAAATGTATGAATTTTCAAGCTTATTTATTTTACAAATCTATATTTTGAAATTTGTCTACGATCTTTTTAAAAAATTATATCATTTGAAAAAAATGTTACAAGACTTTTGTAGAATCTATAACTCAAAAACAAATTATTGTAAAAAAAACTTTATCAAAAGTAATTTAAACTGTAAATTAAAAAATTTTTTTATTTTCCTACAGATAAACAGGGCAAAATACATTATTAAAGTATTTAAAATACAAAATACAAAATACTGGCAATTTTAGTATTTGAATTACAAAATATAAAATACTTTCAATTTTTTGAAATTTGAAATACAAAATACAAAATACTTTTAAGTTTTGTCTTTTCATTATTATTACTTTTCTTCAAACAAAAATTTTACAAAAAAATTAATATGGACATATCTTGTATAATTATATACGTTTATTTATATTTCTATATATTTACATATGTTCTTATATATATAAAAATATTTTTCAGGTTATAAAAAGATAATAATTTTAGTAGTAAAAATGTTATTTATTCATACATATAATAAAAATTTTCAATATTATAATACATACATGACATTTTTGTATTAACTAATCATAAAATCAATAAAACGTGTTTTTGACAGTAAAAGAGACTGTAAATATAGTCTAGTAAATATACTCTAATATATAGCATAGACACAACAATAATAAAGTTAAAGAATGAAAATAGCTGACTCATGTCTTAATTCTTACTATATGTGGCTATCCTCTAATCAACTAACACTTACAAAATATTACTAATAATTTCTCATATTGCACCCATATTATCGATACCATGAAAGCTAAGATTCAATTTTTATTAATATTTGTTATCAGTACCACAAAATTAATAAGAAACTATTTTGGTTGACAATACATTTTCATTATTGATCAGTGTTATTTTTAAGAAACATTTGAACTCCTTGTCCATTACTGCAAATGTTGTAATTCAATATGCCTGCAGTTAAATGTTAGAAGTCTTATTAATTAAAAATTAAAATAATTTACTAACAATCTTTACTTTTATAGTTTTCGTGAGGAAAGGGAAAGACAAAAAAGCACAAATAGTTCTACTAGATCACGGTTTATATGAACATGTGCCGGAGAAAACAAGACATATTTTGTGCAACTGTTGGGAATCTATAGTTTTAAAGAATGATAGTTCTTTGAAAACTTTTGCGAATGAGTTAAATGTAGAAGGTGAGTACATAATAGACATAGTATAGCTATGTTTCAATATTCACTGCCAGTGCGTTTATATTACGTGAATTATAGATTTTCAGCACTGGCAGTGAATTTTGGAACACAGGCTTTATCTAAACTGAAGTGTGCATAAAAAAGACTCACTTTATTTTGTGTACCTTTCATTCTCTCTCGAGATAAACTTTTCATTCGAGATAAACGAGAAAGACGAAACAGAATAAGTTCTTTTCTACGTGCACTCGATCTTGACTCTCACTGCAAATAACTGTAATGCGAATACTCGATCTAAATACACTATGTTTATGGTATACATACAGCATGTTCAGCAACAGATGAGAGACAATTTAAAGACTGATTCTAAATAATAAAATAAAATAAAAATCAAGAATAATAAAATTATGATAATGGTTTTTTTAACTATAAATGTTAAAACATTCGCGCAAAAAGCACCTGAAGTATGACAATCCATTGACCTGTGGTATACGAGATGTGATAAAAAAATACAGTGAATGTTAAAATAAAAAGAAACTTATTACATTAAAAGATAAATTACAAATTAGTCCCCTTCGAAATACTTCCTTACGCTTTCAATACATTTATCCTATCGTTCTTGTCACTTGTTAAAGCAGTATTGAAAGCTCTCTTTCATAAGCCTCTTTCATAAGTATTTACTTTTTATCCTTTCCTTCGCATCACTCTTCTAAATTCTGCTGCGTTTTCCTATGTGTCCGGTAAATATTTCAACAAGCTATCCTTCTCTACGAAACATTCCACTTTCTTGAATTCTTTTCAGTGCAGCCTGTACTAGCTTTATCTTGTCTCCGTCCTTCTCTTGCGACTAAGCTGTCTCTGCACATACATGATTCTTTGCGTCTCCTCTTTATTACATGCGCTCGTACTAAGTATTTTGTCAACACCGAATAAATTAAGTCCAATCGAGTCTCTGCGTTTGTAGACTGCAATTAACTTCTCTCGCAGCTTTTAGATGTTAACTTATTTAAATTAGTTATTATTTATTATTGTATTATATAATATATATTGTAATTCTTATGTACGTCATTATGTCATGCAAGTAGATATTAACAGCAGCAGATTTCCTGATGTCTTACCTGTTGCTACAGCCTACTTATTTCTATTGATACTTTCTATGTAGTGTGACCGGCTTTTCTACGAGTCGGACAACAAGATCGGTCGTTAACCGTCACTAATCCGGCTAAATACAACGATTTCAACCTCGTAAGGACGCAGCAACCAAAAACGCGAAGTTGGGCGCCAGGCACGAGCGGACGTGCCACCCTTCAAATTCCAACACTGAAACGCGGTAGAGGGGCGGTTCGTAGGGACGCGGAGGAATGTGGAAGAGCAAAGGCGTTATCAAAGACACAATAAATTTAGTAACAAATAACAGATATAATTGTGTATGCTGGGATATACAAGCGTTTCTTCTGCCCGCGACTAACGCCGCGGCAACCGTCGGTGTTCTCGTCGATGTCGAGATTCGCGCTTCCGGGAACGCTCCCGGGAACGCTCCCGGGGATGACTGGTGTACAATCTCTTCGCGGTAAATTCTATTCGGACTCGCTAAATGCAAACTCGCGACACGCGGGAGGTACGCCACGCACGGCGTAATGGCTGATTCCACGCCACGTGGTATCGCGATATTCTCGAACTCTGCCGAAAACTCTGTACGCTAACTCGCAAGAAATTAGATAAATTCGCAACGCACAAATAACACAAAATAACACACAAATGACGCACAAATGACTTGGCTGTGGCAAGGCGAGCGCAATGGCAACTTAAATTCGTGTAACCTTTGCCGGGCGGACGGCGCGAGACACGGACTTGACTCGCAAACACACAATTATACGAACGACAAAACTATAATAGCGCGATCCGCCCGACAACGAAACCGGCGGCCGACAATATACTTTGACGACGTTCGTCTCACCAAGAGCGGCAGCTAAGATCTCTAATCCGAGTTCCGTCAATCGGCAGCTACTCGGGATCCTGCGTCCTTCCCTGCTAACGACCACAGCACAAGTGTCGCTCGACAGTCCCTTCCGGCAGCACGCAGGTTGCGAGACGTCACGGGATCGGCTGATAACGCGCCGATTGACCCTTGCCCTGCGAGCGCGACGCCCGCGAATCGCGGCGTCGCACGTGATTCGATCGCTCGCAGTCGTCGGCGCGGGCTTCAAATTGGGCTCGTGACTTTTCCGGGCCTCGGGTGTGCGGCTCGTGCTCCCATCACTAATCGCTGGAAATAATCTACAGCAGTAAAGGCTCTCGATAACGGGCACCAGCATTAAT